TGATGTTTCCCCTTTCATCTCTGATTTTGTTGATTTAGAGGTGCTCTTTCTTTCTTTTGGTTAAATGGGCTAGTGGTCTGTCAATCTTGTTTATCTTTTCAAAGAACCAGCTCTTGGATTCGTTGATTCTTTATATTGTTTTCGTTTCAATTTCATTAATTTCTGCCCTGATATTTGTTATTCTTGTCTGCTGGGTTTGGGTTTCGTTTGCTGTTGCTTTTCAAGTGTGTTGAGTTAAAGCATTAAGTCATTTATTTGTCTTCTTTCCGATTTTTTGTTGTAGGCACTTAGAGCTATAAACTCCCCTCTAAGAACCGCTTTCAGCATGTCCCAGAGGTTTTGTTTTGTTGTATTGTCCTTTTCATTTAGTTCCAGGAATACTTTTATTTCTTTCTTAATTTCTCTTTTGACCCATTCATCATCAATTCCTTCAGCCTATTTATGTCTGGGAAGATTTTTCTTTCCCCTTCGACTACAATAGACATTTTGGCTGGGTATAGTAATCTGGGTTGGCGTTTGTGGTCATTTAAAACTGGGAATACTTTGGTCCAGGCTCTTCTGGCTTTCATAGTTTGCACTGAAAAGTCTGCTGTAATCCTAATGGGTTTTCCTTTATATGTGACTTGTTGTTTCTCTTTTGCAGCTTTCAGAATTGTGTCTTTATTGTGTACGTGTAGTGTTTTTACTATGATGTGCTATGGAGAGTTTCTTGTCCTGTCTGTTTGGTGTTCTATATGCTTCTTGTATTTGTATGGGCATGTCTTTCTTTAATTTTGGGAAATTTTCTTTCATGATTCTGTTGAAGATCTGGTCCATGTCATTATCTTGGGATTCTTCTCCTTCCTGTATGCCTATGATTCGTAAGTTTGGTCTTTTTATGGTGTCACACAATTCCTGCATATTCCATTCTTGTGATTTCTTAAATTTTTCATAATCTTTGCTTGAGTGGTCTAGTTCATCCACTTTATTTTCCAGTCTTGATATTCTCTTTTCCATTTTGTTCATCCTATTGGTGAGGCTTTCTCCTGTCGTTTCTAATTGTCTTACTGAGTGTTTTACTTCCTTGTTCATTTCAACCTGAGTATTCTTCAATATTGCTAACTCTTTTCTGAATTCATTCAGAAGTTTATCCCTATCTTCCTTCAGTTCTTTGATTTCTTTGTGTGTTCTTTAACCTCACTGAATTTTTATCATGTTTATAATTGTTCTTTTGAGTTCCATGTCCTGCACTATCTCTAGGGGGTTCTCATTGTACTCCTCTAGAGGACTATTGGTATTTGTTGGGGATACGTTATTTTTGGTTTTTCATGTTATTATTTTTTCTATGTGCTTTTGACATGTGACTTTCTTTTGTAGTTTCTGATTCTTGTGTGAGACTCAAGCCTTCAAGTTTAGGTTGTCTTCTTTTTGTGAACTTTATGTGTCTTTGTGGTTTACTTTTTGGGCATGAAAAGCTGGTTCGTCTAAGCTTCCGGTTCTCTCTTTTGATTTTATGTTGGAGTGGTCGGATTGCTTTTTTCTTCAGGAGTTCCCACAGAGGCCCAAGCCAGATGAGGATCAGATGCTCTCAGGCTTTCTCCTAAGGTCTGGATCCCTCCAAGAAAGATTTTGGCCTCAGGAATTTGGGGGTTCGACTGGCCTGGGAGCCGGGCCCAGGAAAGATGCTGGTCTAGGGCAGCTGGTGGCCATGCCACCAGAGATGCAAAGGAAGATGGGGCGTGGGGGGGTGGGGAGGTGGCCCCAAGGCCCCTGGGGTCTTCACTGAGGAACTGGGTTGGTCTGGATGCAAAGGACCTGGAAGAGGAAAGGTCAGCCCTGGTGTCCAGAAAAGAGACTGGCGGTAGTGCAGACCCAGGGAGCCAGAGGGAGCCAGGGCAGGGCCAGGCCCTGAGTGCCCCTGGGGACCCTTAAAGAGACTGAGTTGCTCTGGATGCACAGGATCAGGAAGAAGCAGTGGTGGTACCCCAGGTGTCTGGGGCACCAAGACAAGGCATGGGACAGGACCCAGGCAAGAAGAGACCAGCGGGAGAGATGGGAGGGTGAATGAGGCTGGGGGAGTCAAGGTGCTAAGGGCCCAACAGACCTACCCCAGAGAGAGAGGCCTGCAGGTCGGAGAGAGGCCTGTGGTTAGTGAAGGCCCAGGGAAGCAGAGGGAGGTGAGGGCGGGGCCGGGCTCAGAAGCAGTGCTCCTGGGGACCTGAGAAGGAACTGAGTTGGTCTGGATGCAAAAGATCAGGAAGCGGTGGTGGTTCCCCAGGTGTCTGGGGAACCAAGACAAGGAATGGGACAGGGCCCAGGCTGGGAAGAGAGATCTGTGGGGGAGATGGGAGCGTGAGTGAGGTCAAGGCTCGGAGGGCATGATCGACTTACCCCGGAGAGAGAGGCCTGGTGGTTGGAGAGAGGATGTTCCTGTTTTATAAGTATAATTTCCTGTGGTTAGATTCCTTTTTTCTCATTGTCTTGTCATTTTGCAGTACATGTTTATGCAGATCCGTTTATTCAGTTTAGCAATAATGACTCTTCGACATCCATTCTGTTACACCTTCAATCTTTATTGAACTCTTGGTCCATACTACTTGCTAAATCAAATACTTTATACTCGTTATTTGCTTATATCCAACTCCTTGTGGAAGATCCCTCTAAACTAAATTCAGCTTTTATCTGCATTTCACATAGAAGAACAAAGTGAGCCACAGAAGAATTATGTAGTTTGCCCAGGCATAGAGAACTACCACGGACAGAGCTGGCTTGAATCCCAGGTCTGTTTGATGCCAGATCTCATGCTCTTAATCCACAGTATTGTTTTCTTGCTCAGTTGCCAAGTTTTTGTTTTGATTTTTTTTTAATGTTATTTTTATTTCATGTGTATGGATGTATTGCTTGCATGTATGTAAGTGCACTTGTGTCATGCAGTGCCCCCAGAGGTCAGAAGAGGGCATTAGATTCCCTGAAACTGGAGTTACAGATGATTATTATCCCCCTTGTGAGTGCTGGGATTTGAACCCAGGTCCTCTGCAAGAGCAGTCAGTGCTTAAAAGTTGTGTACCACCATACCCGGCTACAAAGTTATTTTGATCTTCAGAGAAGAACTGTACAAATATTATTTCTGACAAACGCATCTCAGAGAAGTTAAGTGATTTGACCTGTCACTAATATTTTAGATGCCAGTTAGCTAGTTTTGTTAGAATTTTTTAAGTTTATTCAACAATATTCATTAAGGAAATGGGAATTATCTTTGGATTTTGTGTTGTTATTTTAACTTCACTTTGAAATACTGTAGACTTACAGAAAAATTACAAAACTAATACAAATAGTATCTGTTTATTCTCCATGTTTCCCTAATGTTAATACCTTTTAATCATAGTATATTTAAGAAATGGAGTTAGTATAAGGTGGTGATTGTTGGTTTTGGTTTTGCTTTGTTTTGTTTGTTTGTTGTTGGTTTAAGAAAGGGTCTTCCTGTAGCCCTGGGTAGCCTGGAACTCAGAGAGATCTGCCTGCCTCTGCCTCCTGAGTCCTGGGATTAAAGGCATGTGCCACTATTTCTGGCCCTGTTGTTTTTTTTTAACATAGAATCTTGTTACATAGCCCTTAGGCTGGCCTAGAACTCTGTATAGCCCAAGATGGCACCAACTGGTGATCTCCTGCTGGATTAATTCATTCGTCCAGTAAATATTTGTCTAATTTTCATCTTTTGAAGTTTCTAGGTGTTGGGAAAATATGACTGCAATATGGTTTCCTGATCTCCCAGCATATTAGGGGAAATATGTCAAGACAACTGAGTGCTGATGGAAGTACAGATAAGATGCCACAGAAACTAGATTGATTGATTGACCAGAATGGGATAAAGGCAGCTTCTTATTCTTAGCAAAGAAGGGTTTGGAGTCACAGATAGATTGGGTAGACTTCTCTTGCACAAAGAGAAACATTTAAGAGTGTAAAAGAAAATACTTTGGAGACGTGCCCCCTTTTAAGTTAAAGTGAGGAAACAAGAACAAGCATTTATGAATGTTTGCTTGCCAGGGTATAGAATGTAGATTTTTTTTTTTCCCTCTTAGCTACTAGCAGCATTATTTATTTATTATCTTTATTATATGTGTATGACTGTTTTGCCTGCGTGTATGTAAGTCCACTGTATGTGTGCGGTGCCCTTGGTTGCCAGAAGAGGGCATCAGAGTCTCTCAAACTGGAGTTCTGGACTGTTGTAAGCTGCCATGTGGGTGGGTGCTGGGAGCCAAACCAGGATCTTCTTCAAGAGCAGCCCGTATTCTCAACTGCTGAGCCATCTCTCCAGCCCTGGACATATTTTTAAAATTAGGATGATAAAGTCACATTTTTTGTTGGACTAGTTTGTCAGTAGTAGTACATTCCTCCCTGAAAGTCTGTAACCTATAAGTCAAATATACCTCATATCTGCCCTCCTCTCAGTTGTTTTTGCTCAGTGTCTTATCATAGCAACACAGAAACCAAACCTGTTACAATGTGCAGTTTATCTATTTAAGAAACTAAAAGATAAAAGGAAGCTGGACACGATACTGCATGCCTCTCTACTCCTAGCATTTAGGAGCAAGAGGCAGGAGGAGGATCAAAAGTTTAAGATGCGCCTGGGCTACATAGTAAGTTCATGTCAACTGGGCAACATAAATAGAACTTATCCCCCAAAGAGAAAAAATTATTCAAGACTGGAAAATAGAACTATTTAGCAAAATTGAAATTATGTCATCAGAGCAATTAATGTTAGAAAATAATGAGGACATTTTTCTTGTGTTTCTGGAACAAAAAAGTAATCCACTTGAGTAGCTTAAGGGTTAATTTAGTTTTACTTAAACTTTTGTACCAGATGTTTGAATCCAGATTTTTTAAATCACTAAACAGTGGCTAACCTGGGAGAAGAGGGACATAGGTATGGCTTACTGCCGTGTTCCTGCTGCCTTCAGTGCTGAGCTGAAGAGAATATTGCCATACCTAATGAAGCAGTCTGCAGTGTGCAAATCCTACTGAGGAGAAAACTATTAAGAGTAGCTTGGGCATCACTACTGGCTTAGTCTTAACAATCAAGGATTTTTTGTTTTGTTACCTTTTTGGGGGTGGGGGTGTTGGCCGTGCATGTACATGTACAACTCTGAGGAGTCAGTTTTCGCCTTCCATCATGTGGATTCCGGAGATCGAACTCAGGTCATCATTGTTAGCGGCAAGCGCCTTTACCTACTCATCCATCTTGAGAGTCCTAATTATTTATTCTACGTGTTGATACACATCTTTATTCCATTTTAACTAAAAATTTATGTTTGAGAATATAAACTTGAATTTTTCCATAGAAGAGAACATGAGAAAATTATTAAATTTAAATTCAAAACTTTTCCTGCTTCCTTTAGAACGCATAACAAAGAAAACAGAAGAGTCTGAATCACATGAAGAGCCTGAACTTAAGAGGAAAGTACAACAGAAACGGCACCGTGGTACATACCAACCGACTCCTCTATCCCCTGCCTCAAAGAAGTGCTTAACCCATTTACAGGTGGGTAAAGAAATTACTCTTCCTTACTAATCAGATAGGTTTTTAAGTTAATATTATCTTAATTTTACTTTATTATTACTCTGTGTGTGTGTGTATGTGTGTGTGTGTGTGTGTGTGTGTGTGTGATGCTACTCATGCAGGTGCACACGAAAACTAGAAGGTGTATGTGAGTGTGGGCACATAGTGTGGCACACTTGTGGAAGTGAATTCTCTACCCTGAGTTCTGAGGATCAAACTCCAGGCAGAAGACTTGAATGGCAAAGTGCTTTATTCACTGAGCTGTCTTGCCAGCCTGTTAGTTATCGTTATTGCTTATTAAATTCTAAACAGTCTTTCATCATAGAACTAGAAGAGATCTAAAAAAGTTATTTAAGCAAATTTTTCTGACTTTAATAGACCATTTTCTACTTGTTCAAATGTAGTTTTTGTTTTTGTTTCCTGAAAAAAGAAAAAATCATATCCTTGTAACACATTACAGGTTATGGTGCTTGGCTGACATTAAAAAAAAAAAAATTGTGTATGTATGTGGGTTTTTGTTTTTTGTTTTTTGTTTTTTTTTTTTCATTGTTTTTTGTTTTGGGAGACAGGGTCTTAGTAGCCCCACCTGGCCTGAAACTCACTATGTAGTACAAGCTGAGCCTCTGTATCATAGCAGTCCTTTTGACTTAGCCTCCTAGTTGCTATGATTACAGGCATGAGATATTATATGTAGCTATTTAAAAACTATAGTAGGAAGATGGATCAGTGAGTAAAATCAGTTGCTGACCAAGTGTGAGTTCCCAAGTCAAATCCCCAGAACCAGTGTAAAACGAGATGTAGTAGCCTAAGTCTAATGCCAGTGCTCTTAGGGTGAGGTGGGAGGCAGTGACATGAGAATCCAGTGACAAAGCAGGACACCCTGTCTCAAACAAAGTAGAAAGCAAGGACTGGCACTAAAGGTTGTCCTCTGACCTGCATATTCATATTCCTTCTTTCCTTCTTTCCTTCCTTCCTTCCTCCCTCTTTCTTTCTTTCTTTCTTTCTTTCTTTCTTTCTTTCTTTCTTTCTTTCTTTCTTTCTTTCTCTGATACACATACCACGTCATATAGAAACATAAAAAATATTTTTAATTAAAATACTGATTTGGGAATGGAAAAGGTTACTGCTCTTTTAGAGGGCCTTAGTTTACTTCCCAGCACTGACATTGGGTGCCTCAGAACAATCTGTAACTCAGCTCCATGGAAACCTCATCTGGGCTCTATGGACAACTGCACTCACAAATGTGCATACTCCCACATAGCCTCAGTACTCATAATTTAAAAATAAGGTAAATCTTAAAAAAATTTGGTATCTGTTCCACATAGTCCCCTTCCCCCATAATACTAGAGAGCAAACCTAGGGCCTTGGCAAGTTAGGCAGGTACTCTACTACTGAGTTACATTCCCCTTCAAGTCTCACCTGACTCATGTCCTTTATGGCTTCAGATCGTGTTATGTTTATTTGCTATGAATCTTTACTCTTTCCATCTGGAATAATTCCATCTTTTATAACCTTGATGTTTTTTGTAAAGGTGTTTAGGCCATTTCTTTGTCCCCCAAATTACAATTATCTGTTGTTTCCTTTTGATTTATAACTTGCAAGAGTACCTCAGAAAGGATGTGTGTCTTTTCATTGCATATTGGGAGGCACATGGTATTGATTTTTGCCTTAATTAAAATGCTTTTTTACATATTTCTCACCTGAAAAATTAATAGGTCTCTATTCGCCTCCCCTCCACTCCCCTCCTCCCCTCCCTTCCCCTCCCCTCCACTCCCTTCCCTTCTCCTTTTGGAGACAGAGTCTCATGTAGCCTGCCCTGGCCTGGAGCTTATTTTTAGTCAAGGATTACCTTGATCTGCCCACCTCTCAAATGATGGGATTGCAGGTGTGTGCCACTACACTCAGCTACCCCATCCCCCAGCCTTCTAAATGCACGCAAAGCTTATACTCTACCAGCGAGCTATAGTTCTTTTCCTAGCCCCTTGCCCCTTTATTAATAAAACCTTTTAATACATGGTAAAGTGTGGTTTTTTTTTTAATCTTATTTACACATTTGTTAATGTGTCTGTTCAAGTATATGCTCATTTGGTGGGAGGGATGTTTGCACTGTGTACATGTACAGAGAGGCCAGAAGAGGTTGTTGAGAGATCTCCTCTATGACTCTTCCCCTATTCCTTTAAGGCAGATTCTGTCCCTGAACCTGGGGCTCACATTTTCTTGGGTAGGCTGAAAGCCAGCAAGCCTTAGTGGGACACCCGCCTTATTACCTGAGTGGTAGGATGTGATTTGTGGTCCTCATAATAGCAAAGTGCTCTTAACTGCTGAGCCACCTCTTCAGCCCTTCTTTAGTTATTTATATCCACATGGACACATGGATTCTTACTTTACTTGAGTTAGGTCTTACCTTTCATTTGTTTTGGTACTCAGATGATACCTAATGTTGTCCATGGACCATCCCTTCAGGTTGGTCCCTGTTGTTTTTTGACATATCCCCATCATTCCTTGAGCACTTTTTGGTATAACAAGATAACCTAGGCTTACTTGTTTTGTTCTTTGTCTCAGCTCTAGTATATTGCATCTCTCCAGGAAGGCATTGTTCCTTCACGTGTTCCTCTAGTTATGGTCATTGATACTGGTCTATTTGTATTTCCTATCAGACACATCTAGGAAATATGTTTATGTATGTATTAATATTTAGTGTGTATTAAAATCTTTGAGTTCATACTAGTAATTCTAATCTGATTGGTCTAGCATTACAGTGTTTAGCTTTACCCACTTTGTATGATCATAACTCATTTTGACTATGAGAAACCTGATTCTCATCATCCCTAGTATATCTACTTTTGCTATGTGATGAGTTTCTTCCCTTCACAGCCTGAGGCTGTCTCATGCCATACCAGTATATCCTGCTTGCCCAGATAAGAAGAGGGCAAGGAGGGAAACTCCTCAGCTCTGCACCCTTCCTCTTGGGCTGCTGGCTGAACACCTCAGAGTTGTTTTTAATGCCTAATATTGTTGTTTTTAATGCCTACCTTCTTTTACACTTCTGTGTCGTTCTTATTTTCTTCTTAGTGGAGATAAAAACTTGTAGCCAGCCTTTTTTAATCTTTAATTCATGAAAAGGGTTAGTGGTTTATCTTTCCATTTATAGCCTTTGAAACTTCATACTGTGTATTGCTTTCAGGAAAACAAGATCTTTGAATTCAGTGGAATTAAGCATCTTTTAAATATATAGCAGTACATGGTGGCACACGCCTTTAGTCCCAGCACTTGGGAGGCAGAGGCAGGCAGATCTCTGAGATAGAGGTCAACCTGATCTACCTAGTGACTGCCAGGCTATCTGGGGCTACAGGGAGTACTGTCTCAAAAAGATAAAAAAAAAAAAGAATATGTAATAAAAATGATAGGTCTGGGTGGTGTCTCATCAAAGATAGGTTCAATTTTAATTAAGTATGATTATTTATTTGTCTATAGAGACTTGCATGTAGTATGCAAAATGAAAGTTGTAATGTTTTCTTATTTTTGTTTGCACTTTGGGGATCAAGCCCTGGGCTTCATGTGTGCTGGGCAAGAGCCTTGCCATCAAGCTACTCCCCCTAGCCCTATAATTTAAAATTACTTAATTTTGTGAAGATTTTTTTACACTGACCAAATGGACAAAATTTATTCAATTTTTGTTTTCAGAGATAAATTATACTTAACACAAAGTTGTTATGTTAATTTTGCTGTACATACCTATAATTCCATCATTTATCAGGCAGAGGCAGAAGAACTGATACAAGTTTGGGGCCAGCCTGGTCTGCGCAGTGACTTTCAGACCAGCTAGTGATTCATAGTGATTCACAGCTTTCTCTCAGAAAATCAAAAAAGAATGTAGTGAAGGGAGGAAGGAAAATTTACATATACCTTAGGAAAACTAAGTATATTTAATACTGAGATTCCTTTTTGCTCTTTAGTTTCGTTTTGATTTTGTCTTCTGTGGTGTTGGAGATCTAACCCAGGATCTTAGCTATATCCCCAGTATTAATTTAGGGTTGGGGTAAGGTGTTGTGTGTGTGTGTATGTGTGTGTGTGTGTGTGTGTGTGTGTGTGTCACTATGTAGCCTGGGCTAACACTGAGCTCCAGGCTTCTTGCCTCAGCCTTCCAGTTGCTGTACTTCAGGTGTGTGCCAGTCATCCTGCTTGAAATTCTTAGTTTCTAGTTTTTACCATTAAAATTCATAAATGTCTCGTTCAGTTCCATTGATCTGCATTTTTTTTGTTTCTGATTTTTACAGTCAATTAAATTTTGTTTACCTGTGTTGTAGACAGTAAAGTTGGAGGTAGGCACTCAGATATTTTTTGTACTGATTATCAAACCTAGGCCCTATTACATGCAAAGCAATGTCTCTACCATTCCTAGCCCCTTCTGGTTTGATCTTGAAGACAAAGACAAAATTACCTTCCTCAAATTACTTCCAGCATTCCGATGCTAACCCCCAAGTAACAGAGCTCAGCAAGAATCTCATGGTCGTGTGGTAGTGATGATAGAAAAACCAGGACTTCATTTTGAGATTTTTAAAAGAACCTTTTTGATGTTAAAGTAAAATACCAAAGTCGTTTCTTTCTTCTGTTCTTTTGGAACATAAGGTTTCTGAACAGCGTGAATGTTGCCCAAAATGTGGACAAGAAAAAGAAAATCAGACCAAATGCCAAAGTTGTGGTATTATTTTTCGTAATGATTTGCAAAGAAATTGTAGACAAGCTGTAACTTTGAATGAATCTACTGGACCATTATTAAGAACATCAATTCATCATAATTCTGGAGGACAGAAGTCACAAAACACAGGATTAACAACTAAGAAGTTTTATGGTAACAGTGTGGAAAAGATTCCAATTGATATTGTGGTGAATTGTGATGATACTAGACACAATTACATACAGACTAATGGAAAAATCATTTTACCTGGGGGAAAAATACCTAGAATTACAAACTCAAAAGAAAGAAAAACAAACCTGTCAGATCTGAATGATCCAATCATTTTGTCAAGTGATGATGATGATGATGACAAGACTAACAGAAGAGAGAGCATATCTCCTTATCCTGCAGACTCAGCATGTTTGTCCCCAGCACCGTCCACTGGAAAAGTAGAAGCTGCACTAAATGCGAACACCTTCAGGGCAGATCATGAACTAAGAAGCAATCTAACCAAATCAGAGCTAAATACAGTTACCTTGCCAAGAAAAGCAAGAATAAAGGACCAGTTTGGCAATACTATTAGCACACTTCTAAAACATCATAAAGTGAATGCTCACGAACCTTTAGTTAGTTCTGTGTCTTTAACTGCCAAAATTCCTTTAAAAGTGTCATTTTAAATTGTCGAAGTATATAAGAACCCTCTTCTGACTGTTAGTAGAGCTTGTAATTTTTTCTTTAGATTTGATCAAGATACATCTTGATGGACCAGAAAGTAATCCTATAGAAATTATTTTAAATACCTCTGACCTAACTAATTG